TGTTGAGAACCACGCAGAGTATTAAGGCCACTGAGCTGCCAGGTTTAAAATCTGAATCCAAAAAGGGAAAGAGAGGAAAGAAAAGACTTGATGTTGCTCTTTTTGAATTCTCTTAAAAATTTTCCTCTCTGTCTTTACTAAATTCTGCCTCGGTGCTTACAAGATAGTAAGTACATGATCATTTTTATAACGTTAACTGGAAAATGTCATAGAATTTCTAGCCTTTTCTTTCTCCTTTATTTCCTGTTTTTTTGTCCCTCTGTCCTCTCCCTGTGTACCTTGCTGTGTGCACACGTGATGTAAACGGCCTGTCTTCTCGCCTCGGCTTCCTTAACTCTCGATGCCACTTTCTCTTTTCTTCTTACTGCATTGACTTGCCAGTTGGGGCCACTCCAGCTTTGTTTCCGTCTCTTGGGAAATGAATTTACCCAACACCTTAGGTTCTCATTTCCTTTTTATGTCGTTTTTTTATTGTCCCAGGCGTCTTCTCCTCCCTCTGCTTCTCCAGCTCACCCACGAGGCTCTCGGAGGTGCCCGCTGACCTTCGCTAGTTCTCTGCGGCTGCTTCCTGCAGCTGAATGGACTCGGCTCCGGGAGCCTCATTCGGGCTGCCAAGGGGGAGAGGTGGGCAGAGATGCTGGAGAAACTTCACTCCTTCCCCTTCTCGACCCTGTCCTCCAGGGAGGTGCAGGCAGTGCTGGAGGAGACAGGCGCCCCGGGGAGGCATGTCTGGCCTCACCTGCTGCACGAACCCTGGTCAACCTCAGCAGCTGCTCATTCCCAAGCATTTCCTGCTTCTCCCTGCCGAGCAGAACCAATGTCATTTATTGAAAGAAAAAAAAAAAAATAGGTCTTTGGGCCTAACACTTTGACCAGATAACATGTTTTTGTTTTAACGTTAGAAAATCCGATATCTGTCAATGGATCTTCATATCTGAAAAAATTTTGATAATGATTGTGCGCGTGCGTGTGTGATGCTAAAGCTCAGGATTCGTTTATTTCTAAAGAGGCTGATTAAATAACTATTAAAAATTGTGTATTTTAACTTTTCAGCTCCTCGTATGTCTTATGTTGGCCCAAGTCCAACCTGTTTATGGTTCTAAATTTCAAGCCAGGTCAAACTAACCATACCTGTTCTGCACCCGAGTTTTCTAGGCAAGGCACAGTGAAAGCCGTGAAAACAGTGAACAAAAGGCAAGGTTGACCTTGTGTATTTCCCAGAATTCCTCTTTGTATTTGGGGAGAAAAGATCGAACACAGGTCTGCAACCCTGGTTGGAAAATTTGGAGGTTGGCTGCGTTTTGGGATGAAGTGTTTTTTTTTTTAAATGGTATATGAGACATACTCCGGATAGGTTTGGGGAAATTATTTTTAGTACGTTAAAATATGCATATTCATACTGAATGGGGAAAAATAAAGCCTTAAAATAACCTGATGTCCGGTCAGGCATCCCAATTCATACAATTGATTATGGTAAAAGATAGTTTTTGTTGAAACTTTCTTATAGTTTTCAATTATTTAAAGATTCCTGCTATGAGTGAGACCATGGTAATCAAATGCATGTGTTTATCTTTTTGAATGCTGAGTAATATTCATGGTATATATGTAACATTAAGGGCATAATTTTGAATTTGAGAATTGTAAATAAGGGATGTGGGCTTTGAAAATGTAATCAAGTGTTAAATTAAAAGGAATTAATTATGAGTCATTTTCAGAAACAATGGAATATTAATGTGGGCTGGTGTCAGAAAAGGTGGGATTTGACTGGTTTTCAAGGTCTGGAAGGGGCTTCATTTTGCTCATTGATGAATCTAGGGCAGCTTGAATAGCAACTGGCACATATTTGATGAATAAATATTTGTCAGAAGAGTGATTTGTGAAGAGAAGGGCACGAACATTCCCGTCAGCGCAGACTTCGCTTGAAGGCAGTTGTAGAGCATGGAGTGAGTCTGGTTATTTGTGGGCAGTGGTCAAGGGTCTGCTCTGCTGAGGCTGGACAGGGGTGTGAGAGGGGGCATGTGTGGTGGGGTCTGGTGGATGTTAGTATTTATGCCTAAATGCTTGCTCAACTTTGGCGTGTGTGCTTGGGGAGAACTTAGAAAATCAAAATGGTTTGAAAAGTAAGAAAAGAAAATGTGATGTTCAGAATGGATTGTGGTTGTTTCCTGCAGGGACGCCTTGATTAAGGTATGTAGGCAAAATTCAAGAGTGTTGATGAGGTAGTAGAGATCATTGGAAGTTTGAATAAAATGTAGACATTGGTCCTGTTGAGTTAGAAAAGGGATAGGAAGGAAGTCAAAGAAAAGGTCATATTTCTCATGCATGGGGGTTAGAAGCAGTGATCCCTTTGGCTGAAAGAGGGACATTGTAGAAGAAAAACTGGAGAGAATATGGTAAACCCACTGATTGGATTTGGCATTCGATCCATTGATTGACTGATTGATTGATTGCTATTCTGGAAACATCTGATCTCTTTCGTATGATGTGCGTGTTCATAGATATAAAGTATGTCCCAGTTTTCTTAGGCCAGAGCATTTCTGAACAAGGAAACTGGAAACAAAGCCCTGCCTGGCCCACAAGTATATGTGTTATTTCTGAGCTGCTTTTGTATCAAGTGTATTTAAATCCCATTTTTCAAAAAGTAAAAGCTGTGTTGAGTAGCATCGATTCCCCTATGCCCCTTCCATTATGCATTAGCAATTAACTCCACTTCTCTCAGGTTGATGAATTTGAACTTGATCAATTATCTGATCGTAATTACTAGCACAGAGTGATGATTATTGCCAAAGAAATGTTCTTATTTCATTTCTCCATATATTTCGTATGTCAGGCACCGTTCATAGAGGCAGGTTTGTTTGGCTGTGGACTGTCTTGCTCTTTTGGCTTCTGGCCCCAAGGTCAAAATTCTTTTTAATTATATAGTATTTTAAATTATTGGCATGTAGCTTTGTGACCTCCAGGAGAAGGAAGGGACAGACTAGTCTTTGCTTCTGTCGTGGGCTCAGACTCTTGAGTTTCGTTTCCTCGCCCCCACTCCTGGCGGCGTGACTGCTCTGCCCTCTTATCTTGTGGCCAGCGAGCCTTCCCTTCGCATGGTGCCATTCTGCTGCATTGGCTCTTTTGCATCCTGCGTGGACGTGTATAGACTGAAGGGCTGGCTCTTGGAGCTCTGTGAGATCACCAGGAGAGCTGGGACTGCCTAACAGCACCGCAGACAGGGTGGCTTAATAGCAGGGGTTCACTTCTCCTAGTTCTGGAGACTGGACGTCTGAGATCAGGGTGTTGGCTTTTATCCGAGGACCTCGTCCTGCCAGGTCGGTGGTGTCTCTCCCCGTGTCTTCACAGGCTTTCCCGTGTCCGTGTCCTGATCCCTTTTCAAAGGTCACCAGTCATTCTGGAGTGGGGTCCACCCTGATGATCTCATTTTAGCTTAGTTGCCTCTTTTAAAGACCTCATTTCCAAGTAAGTCTCAGTCTTTCTGGGGGTTAAGACTCTAAAATGGGAATTTTGGAGTCCATGACATGTAAGCAAATGGGGTATTAGAGAAGCTTAAAAAGAGTAGGGGCAAATTGATAAAAGGCAAAAAGAAAAAAAAAAGAAGGGGAAGAAATACTCTCGTGCAAGGGATAGTGGACACTTTTGTCTTCTGTGATGGGCCTCTCCTTGCCCTCCTCTGTATGTAGCCCAGGGCACATGGCTGCTGGTGTGGGGCTTAGAGGTAAGTCTGAGGCTCAGAGAGGTTTCCTGCCCAGCCCAGGATCTGAGAACTCAGGAGGGTCAGAGCTGTCACTTGAATACAGTCCTCTAGTCCCGCACTGGTGTTCTTTCATCACCCTAGCAGGGCAGCAAGAAGAAAGTAAGCTCCCTCTGGGCGCATTCCATGGCCTTCTTGGTGTTGTGTTGTTTTGTTTTGGGAACTTTGGGGATAAGACATCTCCTTGTCAGCCAGCCATGTTCTTGTTAGCTTTAACATTTGTAGTGCAGAAAATAAACACACAGGCAGAGAAGCTGCAACTCTTTTGAGAAATAAAGATAGGAAGCCACTTTTTTTTCCTAAGTCCTTATTTTAGCGTGAAAGTTAGAAGGATAAAAGGAGTGGAGAGTAGTCCTGTGAGCTCCCACCCTCTTATTACTCGGCCTCAGCAGTTCCCAAGATTTTTTTTTACAGTTCTTCATCTATTGCTTCCTCTCTCTCTTCAAAGGAATGCAAACTAGATTACTTTCACTCCTTTCTGCATGTAAGTAAGTTTACAAATGTAGCCATTTTCTAACTTACCTTTAATGCCACTCAGTTTCCCCGATTGCTTTCTTCTTGTGATTGGTTTCCTTAGATCAGAATCTGAACAAGGCCATTACGTTCAAGACATTAAATTATATTTGACAATAAATTTTCTTGCCTTTCTGTCTTGTCTGTTACACTCAGGGACACTTTGTTTCCAGGTCTCTGCAGAGAGAGGATGCAGTGATTGGACACACATTTTATTGTATTTGGTTGCTCCTCATGGGACACAGTTTGTAAAAATAACAACAACAAACAAAACAATTACGTCTTAGTTTTGAATGCATTTCCATGGTCTTCAGGAAGCATCCAAACAATGTTTGTTTTTGTGTACTAATCACCATATTATTTTTAAAGACTAGAACTTTAAAATTAAAAAAATGTCAAGAATAAGTAAACTCAACAAACAGGAAATTGATGATCACTCTTTACAAATGCCGTTGGCATATGTGGGTGCTACTTATCAACTTATTCCATTATCATGGACTCATTACATTTTGTCCACATGCAACATTGTTTTGGGAGATTATTTTCCAGCCATAACTCATGAATACCAAGCTGCTAAAACAAGTTGGTAAACACTTGCGTTTGTCAAATGTTATTTTTATAGTCAACAGGAATGCTGCTAATGTCATTTAGTAAAGATCCTGAATGCAACTGTTGGTTGACAGCTTTTAAAATATGATTTTGTATTTTGCTAACATTTCATCTCTTCCAATAGGTATAAATGACCAAGGATTATACCGAGTTGTGGGGGTGAGTTCAAAGGTCCAGAGACTTCTGAGTATGTTGATGGGTATGCCTCTTTTCTAATCATTTTCCATGCATTGTTTGTTGATGTTCATTGACTTTGATATTTTGACTTTAATGTTTTTTAATCACGTGCAGCATACAAGGGAATCCATCTTTTAATCCTACTGCCTCGATGAGTTTTCTCCTGAGCAGAGAGAGACAGAAGTAGACTAGTGTTTACATCATCACAGATCATCAGCTCTCTCTTTCCTTCCAAAGAAATGAAAGACAGTGCAGCTCGTGAGTGCTTGCTTCTCTTGAGACAGTGGCATCCCGGCCCCTGCAATTTGCGCAGCTTCCAGATTGGCCGTCCAGAGTCTTGACAGTACATTTGGTTGGACAAGACCACTGGGACTCGCTCAGCTTTAGGGAGCTTCCCAAACTGTCATTTGACAGCAAGGGTCTGATTCTCAGGGATTCATTGGTATTCACAGTGGCTTTTTTGTAGTTTGCACCAGGCTCTCCTCCAGAACCATGCCTGCTCCATCTGTGCTGATAACACAGTGTTCTTTGGCACTGCAGACTAGAGGAAGCCAGCAAGTGAATTCATTTCATTACCCCAGACATTATGTGAATGACAAAGCGCTTTTACATTACCCACTGCTGTCAGTTCAGTGCCACCTGTAAGACACTCCACTTCTCTTCCTACCCCAGAGCAGGCTGCCTCTTGAGAAGTGATGAAAACTCATCAGGCTTGGGGGCCTGTGTGTCAAACCAATCTGTCATTATGACCTTGCTAAATATTAATTTATTTGATATCTCACTTTAATTAATCAATATTAACAATGCCCTCAGGTATGCTGTCAGTGCTTGTAAACCTGCCTGCATTTTAAGGCATTGTCGCAGAGACTCATTTTTTAGGAAGCATAAACCAAGATAAATAAAATCAGCTGACTTGTTACGGATAGGATTGCTTGTTTGGCTGTATTTGAATTAAGGATTTAATAAGCAGCAACCTTTTTTTAGCTATTAACCACAGGAAAAATTGCCCGTCATCAGTTGGAGGGCCTTGTTAGAGTACATTTGCTTTCAAGAGCTGTTTTCATTTTCTGCCTCTCTGGTTTAACTTGGGTGTGCAGCTTTGGCAGTCAGATTTTCCTTTTTACCATGAGTGGTCTCCAAATTAAATACGCTCAGGTTGCCAGGGGTTCAGTAGCAGCTGGAAGAGTTTAATGGGGCTACGGCATCTGCTTTTAGTTAATTTTAAAATTAGAAACACTTTTCATTTGCAAGATGGTGTTATAATGATGGGAGCTGGAAGACTTGTTGGTATCAGAAGGGGAGATGTGGACTGAAAGACCTACTTTGGCAGCAAATTGGTCTTAGGAATTCTAGCATTTTGTTTATCTTCTGGTTCATGTGCAAGAGAAGTTTTAACATGGATATCTCTGTGGTCACCCTGAAGGGTTAAGCTGTCTGGAAAACTGTTCTTCATCTCCTAAAACCCCACGCACACTGCGTCCTTGAACTCAGGTGGTCACTTGGAAATGTCTCAAGATAGTCCTTTACTTGAGGGTGTTTTGAAATATCTAGCCCCACAAAAATCTGTGACCTGAAAAACTGTTTTCGCTTTCCATGAGCCTCGGACCAGAGAAGTCCAAGACACAAGCGTGACACAGCCTCTTTCATGTTGCTGGCAAAGGAAATGCTGTTTTTAGTAATATCATTCAGCAAAGAAAGGAAGCTCGAGAATTGAAAATACTGACTTGTTATTTCCTTATTAAGTAATTCATTTCAGGGAGCTACACAATGGAAATTACTTAACCTTGAAATAATTCTTCGTATGAATTGAAGATTGTCAATCACAAACTTTGGATTTTATTAGCATTAGTATCATCTTTTGGTTACTTTATGCTACCAACTCATACTCTGACTCTTAGCAAAATAGATTTATTCACTGTTTCCTAATAAATGTAGGATTTCCTTAGGATGATACTTTACTTTGTCCTGATTTAGTGAGCATTGAAATTGAAATTATCTCTACCTCTTCTAAAAAGGATTTTAAGAGTTTCTGACTAGTTGTATATACATTATCTGTGAGTATTTTTTCTCTCTTTTTCCCCAGCTCTCTAGTGTTTAAAGTTACATATCTTAATGGGGAAAAGTTGGGTGAGACTGGTAAATTTTAAATTTGCTCTTTTAAATCACTTTAAAATTTGTTCTTTTAAATCACTGTCCTCTTCCATTGGTTAATTTTATCCATTTGTGGTAGTATGCAGTTATTTTTAATTACTATGCCTGCAAGTAATGTTTTTGTCAAATTTGATTTCTTAAAAGTATTCTTATTTGTAATGTCATTATCTTTGTAGAAATGAAAAATCTAATTTTTAAGTGTAAGAAAAATTTGCAAGTCATTTTGTATTTTTTTTTGACAGGAAGTTCTGTTTACTGGGTTCTTGAGAGCTCATTATTTACTATACGATTTTTCTCTTGCCTTTTTTTTTTTTGCTTAAAATTTTTTTTTAATTTAAAATACTTAAAGTATTCTTTAGATAAGCAGGTGTAAAAGTTCGTGATGATTTCTAGGAAAGACAGGGTACTTAGATCTTGCTTGTTTTCTTCACTTGTCTATTTTTTTGCAGTTTCCCCCTTCACAATTGAAATAGAGAAACCTGTTTCTAGTCTTCTTCCCTCCTCCTCTACCCTCCCACCCCTTTGTTTTCTCTTCTGTGCTTTCCACATGAAATACTAATGGTAGCTGATCATAGAAAGTTCTCACAGTAGACAAGTCATTTGCCCTCCAGGTTAGGAAGGGAGCAGAGACTGCCTGGCACTCTGGGGGGATGGGAGTTGTTAGCCTTCTTATTTGTCTAACATTTTCGAGCAGAAGTAGCAGTCATCTGGACTGCCACGAACCTTCTAGCCTTTCCCTGGACCATGCTTATTAAGTTTCTCAAAGAAAGTGCCCAACTGAGTGACTACCTTCCTTTCCAAGTCATTTTCCTTTCCAGCCCCCTTTGCTCTAACAGAAGACACATGGCGTGAGGTTGAAGTTAAAAAACCTATCTTTTAAAATAGAAACAAAATTTGGAGTAGTTGGGGAAGGAGGTAGAATCACCTAGGGAGGTGTCCTGGGGGAGTCAGGGTTTCTTAGTGAGTTGAGAGTGTTGCAGATTAATTACAGAACTGATTGGTAGATGAGAGCTGATAGAAATTAGAATTGTCATGGCTTCTTCCTTTTTGCCTGACGGGGAATGAGAACATCAGAGCAGGGGAGGGAAGCTGCAAGATCATGTGATGGTCGCTTGTACATGCTGGTGAATTTGGTGGTTATTTCTAAATCTAATTTGCAAGAAAGACTAGATGATTATATTTAATTTGGAGATAGAATCATAGAAAATAAGACTAATTTAGAAGAATTTTATTTTAAAAATATTAACATTATTTACTTAGTAGGACATCTTTTCATGTAGATTGGGGAAGAAACCGAATATAGCTAATAAATATTGATTGTTGGAGTATAAAGTGCGTTTTGAAAGATCATTCAATCATTGTGCTTCTTCAGGTACTTTAAAACAGACTAGGGCTTAGTAGAGAACCAAACACTTTGTATTTAGGTCAGGCTAGAAACTTCCAGTATTTAAACAAGTGGCCATTGGTTCTATAATTGTGAAACGTTAACCTCCAGTAAGACAATTATTTGTACCTTGGCTTGTTAATTTAGATTTTTAACTAATCTCTGTGGTTTTGTCTTTTGGTCAGAAAAGAAGCAAAATTTTTATTTGTGGTAGAACCTGTATTCTAATAGAACATGACAATGCATTTTTAAGTTTTAATTCCAAATAAGTTATAACAAATTTGCCTGATCCCAGTGCATCTACTGATTGTAAAGAACTCCTAGGCATGATTGAGTTATTTGAAAACAGTGAAAATTTAATAGAGGATTGTTACCTCAGACACTATGTAGTCATTAGTTTCTGATGTGACAGCTACATTTTATTGCATGAATTCAAAGCATGACTTATTTTTCCATAGAAGAGAGTACGGATCTCAAAATATGGAATGATAAATTAGTGGAAACTTGAAAATAAAAGATTTCCTTTAGAAGCCTCCTGGATTATAAAGTGATGATTTTCTGGTAGCAAGTTGATTGAAAATGTTATCTGACTTGTATGTTAAAATGAGATTTAAATAATTGATTTAATGAGAGAGAGAATATTCAGTTACTGAAGTAATTGGTTGGCAAAGCCTTTAGAACAGAATTATTTAGTCCTAGTTATAAAGGATTGCACCTCTAATCAGGGTGCTTAATTTGATTTCTTGAATGTATCTGTGGCTTGTCTGACAAGCTCAGTAACAAATGAGTTCTGAATTGTAGAAACTGATCAAAATGTAATCAGTGTCAATTGCCATTGTTGTAGTTTATTGCATATTGCTGTCAGTTGCTGTAATCAAGAACTGTTGAAGTGCTTTAAAAAGCCTCCAGACTTTTGAGTAATTGACTTCATATGTATGATGTTACGGCTGTGAACTAACCATCACTTCCTGTTTCAATGTTTTGTTTCCCCCCAAAGTTTGAGGATAACATTGAGTCGTCATTCAACCTTTCTCATGCCCAAGCCAAAAACTTTTGAAGTGGCCTCTGTGACTTAATGTGCTGGGCCTATTTTGACAGGTTTTTCTTTTTCATGCCTTTTGAGAGGAAATACTAACAAGATGTTTCCTTGCCTCTGTAGACAAGTACAGGGTAAGGGAGGAAAACGCCCCAAAGGAGCTAGATTTTTTTCTTTTTGGTCTTAGTTGATACATCATTCTGGAGTGAGGGAGATCCGGTGTTTCTGTTAGGTACCTTATGTTCCCCCTTACATGATGGGAGCGCATGAACCTGGCAAGTTTGCACTGGTGGTTTGCCGGCTTGCACGGGAACCCTTTGACTGAGCCTCCCTTTGAGTAGGTGCCACCACCTTCCAGCCACTCAGCTGTGGTAATTACCTGCTCATTTAGTAATTTCTGAAACCCGTAGACATTCCTGATTTGCTGTGCTCTCAGTAGTTCTGGGAGAGCATTTACATTCCCTCTCTATCCTGCAGATGAAGATGTGAAATTCACATAGCTTTGGAACTGACTTGTGCGGTCAGGATTGAGGGGTGGGTAGGGCTAATTTAAGCCCAGCTTGGTGACTCCACACCACACCACACCCCAACCTCTGCCACAGCCCAGTGTGGTGGCCCAGCCTTACGGGATCAAAGCTGCCATCATGCTGGTGCTGGCCTTCCCCACCATCCTTTGCTTTTTCATTTTGCTCAGGATTGACATTTTCCACTCCAGCACTTACTGTCTCTGTTCCCCGCTCAGCCACAGGTCTCTTACTTTAGAACTTACTAGCTATTTGAAAGGGCATTAGGAATAAATACCTTATAACCACACTTTTCAGACAAAGAATTCTAGCTTAATTTAGAAGGAGTGTCAGGAGTGCTCCGCAGAGACTTCCAGTAAACATTTCCTGGCGGGGTGTGTAAATTACAGTGTTAACGTGGGAGCTCCACATAAATGACTTTTTAGGTTTGCGTCATCGTGTTTCTAATTTGGTGGATCATGTATTAATTTTCGGAAAGCTAATTTGATGAGTACGAATCTTAGGAGTGTTGGACCACACTTACCCCTCTTCTTGCCATTTTGTCATAAAAGGGGCTGGTTGTTTCCTGTTAGGACACAGAGCCGTGGCCACAGACACAGCACAGACCAGAGTGGCACCTTCACTAAGAATCACGACAATCTCTGTGCGTGGTTTGCACTTGGGAATATTGAAGTGCTGTGCTGTGTCCCAGCTGCCTCCGCCCAGCCCAGTCCTTTCCTCCTTAATTTGATCCCCATTACAGGTTTTTTTAAGTGCTAGAAATGGCTAATAATAGAACATGATTTATACTGTTACAAGAAATTGTATAGAATGTTTTCATAAGAAACCACAGAATGAATTTTTTGTGGTTTGGCCATTGAAAAATGGAAGTTTTGTGAGCCAGTCAAGAGGACCTCGGGATGTCGAAGGTCTTAAATGTTTTTCCTTTGTGTCTTGCTCTAGATGTAAAGACATGCAATGAGGTGGACCTGGAGAATTCCATCGACTGGGAAGTGAAAACAATAACAAGCGCCCTGAAGCAGTACTTGAGGTAAGCTCCCCTCAGTAACAGAGGAGCGGACAGTCTGAATGTCAAACACACAACAGATGCCAACTTGGCACCTGAGTCTTGATCGTTCAGTTACACTTTATTAAAGAGAAGTACATTTAGGGTGTATGTTCCAGGATGTGAGGTAATTACTAGGCGAACATCACCTGTTGTGAAGTAAATTGCAACGGAACAGAATGGGAATCGACTTGGGTTTTGAAGTCATCATTGTAGACATTTTAGGCATTAAATGCTAAGAAACAGCAAGTATGTTTCTAATATTGAAGCCACTAAATCTTTTATTTATGTTTTAGGATAAAATAAAGATATGTTTACCTTACACTTTAGCCACTTGAACTTACAGGCTTATAATGATAACATCTGTAAATACGCAGCTATTTGAGAGATGTTTCCAAGGCGAGGTTTTAAGATAAACTTAAGTTTCGCATTTATTACAGGAACGGTTTAGCACTAGAGTTCAACAAATAGCTCAGTATGTCTGAGTCATTACCCATTCTTTAAAAAAGAAAGGGATTTAATGATAAAGTGCTTGAGGTTAGATGAAAACACATGCACAGAGTGAAAAAGGAGAGAAAGACGGAAAAAACCCACAGCTGTACTCAAGCTCTGGTTCTCGTGGGGCTTTCATTCTCGGGTGGCCAAGATCGGTGGAGAGGGTGCTAATAGCATCTGGGGGCTGCAGTGCAGGGATGGGCTGGTAAAGTCATTACAGCGCAGACGGCAGCCCGCCCTTCCCCCCACAAGTCCACTGTGGCAGAGGTCGCCTCTTGGTAAGATGACGAAGGGGCGGATGGGTGAGTCGTGCAACAACGTAATGAACCTCTCAGGTTAACCTGCCCAGCCAAGAATGCTGCCGCTCCTGGAGGGAGTTAAACCCCAATGCACAGTTTGGTGAACTCCTGCTGGTGCGACTGGAGAAATTGACAAGGGTGATTCAGTGATCGGTGGGAAACTTAGGGCCCAGTCCAGTGCTTTTGCAATAAATTGCATCTCCCCTCCCCCACCTTTTGTTACACATGGTTCGTTCTTTCTGTGGGGGAATTAGTCTGTAAACTAGAGGATCTTTTTATTCAGTATGTACAATTTCTTCTTGGTTCCTGATACTTTCTGAAGCTAATTGCTTGTAGTCCCTGGTCTCGTGTTGCTTTCTTGGCCTTTATCACTCACTGCCTCGCATCATCCTCCTGAATGCCACTTAGATGCAAACGTTGCCTGTAGAACATTAGGAGATGCTATTATTTATATTACTTCGCTCCTAACAACATCCACATTCTGCTTGAATGTGATAAAGTGGTTCTCGTCAAATGGCAGATGCCTTGGGAGATTTGAACTTGAGGCTGCTGTTCTTTTCCACTAACATTATTTTTAGCAACTGAAAATGCCGTAATTAAGACATAGTTGACACTTTCTCTGCTGATGCACCAAAATGAGAGAAAACCAAGTTTTTCGTTCCCTTCATTTCGACTGTAAGTTTATATTCCAAGCTAATGCTTTGTGTCAGCGCAGTGGTCAAGAGCATGGTCTCAAAAGCCAGTGTCCTGGGTTCGAATCCCATCTCTGCCATGAAGCCTTATATGGCTATTCTCACCAAAAAACCCCAAATAACAAAAAACAAATTGCTCTTGAATTTGTCTCACTGCAAGTGACCCAGGTACCTCGTTGGAGGAAAGTATTGCCAACCCCCCAAACACAAAACTAAAACAAGAAGCAGAACCTCCGAAAGAGGGGGAGGCACATGGATACTGCATCTTGCTTTTCTCTTCTACTGACTTCAGGCAGTTTCCCCCCCTAACTTTCAGTGTTTTACAAGACTGAATACCAGGTTTCCTGTCTGTTTGGATCAGACCATAATTTTGATTTCCAGCAATGTGTGTATTATAGCAGTTTCCCATTGTGAGGGGACAAATGAGTAGCTTTGTGATGTTTTAAGTAAAATGATTTTACCTGGAGGAAAATGATTTTACCTGGAGCAGGACTTCCGGGGAAGAAAATGCCACATCAGGTTAACTATTATGATTTATAGCCCCAAACTCTATCACAGAGGATGGCGAAGGAGAACTAACTCACAAAGATGATGGGTGGAAACTTGACAGGTACAGTGACTTGGATGAGTAAATTTTGTATGGGGAACTTGTCATTTTTATTACTGCTTCCCTAACATTAACGATATTTAATACTTATTGTTTATGCTGCATTGCCCGGTTAGACATATGGCAATGATATAAGCAGCTTGTAGAAGATATTTAGATACAAATTCATTTTTATTGGAAAAGAAATGCTCTCTGTGGTTTTCTGAAGGCTTCTCATTTCCCCTTTTCTTTTCAACACTCTTTAATTTCTGCCAGGCCACCATTCGCCTTCTTTGCTACTTGCTGCTTGTACATAGTTTGAAACAAAACCCCACAGGTTTACTCTTTTGATGGCCCCTTCTCTCTCTTTACTTAGGCTGTGGTATAATTGATTTCATTTTGCTCTTTCAATGAGAGTGTAGGGATGGCAGGGCAGAGGCAAGGGGAGAGGAAATAACACAACCACTTTTCTTCCCTAATGCTCTAAATTTAGTGACTGTGTCTGTGGTTACCATGCATGAGTCTGTGTGTGTGCACCCAGGATCTTAAATTGTATGTAGCAATTTACCTCTAAATCCATCTTCCACCTATTTGATTTGCTTTTTAATTAATACACAATAGATTGCACATATTTACAGTGTGCCTGTGTAAGTCTGACGTGTACGTTTGTAAAGACAGCAGCATAATCAAGACAGTGAACCTACCCTCACACCCACAATTCCTTATGCTTTCTGTGATGATATATTAAATTTTGCATTTGCTATAATTCCGTATGCATAAAATTTTTAAATATTTGGGGTCTTTTTTTGAAATCAGTTTTTATTTTAGGCAACATTAGGTTTCAAGGTGCAGAATACTTCAACATCTGTCTGTACTTCATCCTGATCACCACCAGAATCTAGTTTCCGTCCATCACTGTATAGTCAGCACCCCCTGTCATTTTACCCAGCCCCACCCCCTCCCCCTCTGGTGTGCACCAGTCTGTTCTCTGTATCTAGAATCTTTGTTTTGTTTGGTCCTTTGCTTCATTACTTTATATTCTACACCTCATGAAGTCATACAGTATTGTCTTTATCTTTCTCTGTCAAGTTATTTCACTTAGTACGATCTCCTCAAAGTCTCGCCAGCCAGTGGCAAGACTTTTATCTTTTTTAAAAAGAAACAAAGAAACCAACTGAGTAGTATTTCTGTGTGTGTGTATGTGTGTGTGTTTATACCACATTTTCTTTATCGACTGGCTCATTGATGGACGATTAGGTTATTTCCATATCTGTGTCCTTGGTTCTTCCGTTGAGCATAATTAGAAATTCACTAATGTTGTGGCATATACTAATAGTTCCTTCTTTCTTGTTATTAGCTAGTGTTGCATTGTATTATCACAATTTTAACATTTATCCATTTACCTCTTGATGAATATTTGGGTTGTTTGGTAGCTTCTGGCCACTATAAATAAAGTTACTAAAAGTCTCTGTGCACAAATCTTTCAGTGAACCCAGGTTTTCATTTCTCTTGGGTAAATCCTACAAATGCAGTGTCTGGATCCTATGGGAGGTGTATTTTTTTTTTTTTTAGAGGCATATATTTTTATTTATTTGTTTATTTATTTGTTTGTTTATACAAGCACTGGGTACAGTCAGAAGCGTGGGAGGGTGAGAGAATTCACCAGAGCCAGAGCGGGGAGCAGAGCAGGCAGAAGGACCAAAGTACACTGCTGAGGGGAGCAGCGGGTGGCAGGAGAGGTCTGCGCACCATGTGGTACCCTCCTCTGGTGGCTGGGGAGCAGCCGGGGATCGATCCGGCGCCACAGAGGCCACGAGGAGCTTCGCAACCCAGCGCTCAACCACTGCGCCACCGGGGAGGCCCTGGGAGGTGTATTTTTAACTTTCTGAGAAACTGACAGATTTTTCTGAGGTGGTTTTATTTCTTTACATCCCTACCAACATTGTAGCAGAGTGGCGATTCCTCTGCATCCCTGCCAACTCTTGATAAGTCAGTCTTCTTAATTTTAGCCCTTTAAATGGTGAATGGAAATATTTTATTGTGCTTTTAATTTGTACTTCTGCGGTGATCAATATGTTAAATGTTACTTTTTGTCCTTGTTTGTCATTAGTGTATCTTCTTGGGTGAAGTTTCTATGTAGGTCTTACATGCAGTTCAAAAAATTGGGTTGTTTTTGTATCTTGATAATTCTTCATTTATTTCGAATGTAAGTCCTTTCTCACATAAATGCTTTGCAAATGTTTTCTTTAAGCTGTGGTTTGTCTTTTCATTCTCTTGATAGTTTCTTTCACAAAGCAGTTAGTTTTCTTTTTATGGACTGTACTTTTGGTGATGTATCAAGAAATCTTTGCCTAGTTCAAAGATACAGGAGTGTTTGTTTTATATTTTCTTCTAGAGGTTTTACAATTTAAGGTTTTAACACAGATCTGATACCTGTTTTCAGTTAATTTTTACATCAGATATCAGGTTTGGATCCAAATTCATCTTTGTGTGTCAATGTCTGGTTCTAGGACAGTTGTGGGAAGAACTCTTTCTCTGAATTCTCTTTTGAGATGATGATGATCATACTGTGATCATGCTTTCTTTTTTTTTTTTTTTTTGGTACTAGTGTATGGAATACATTGCTTTTTTTTTTTAAATATTAAGACAATTTTGCATCTCTTTAACAAACTCGGTCACAATGTGTATTATCCTTTTATTTATCTTTATTTAGAATACTTGCATCCATGCCCAGGAGTGCTATTGGTTAGTACTTTCTTGTTTAATTTTGGTGCCAGGATAATGGTGGCCTCAAAGAATGAGTTAGATTTAGTCCTTCATTATTTCTATAAGAATTTGTATAGAATTGGTATTACTGCCGCCTTAATTGTTTGGTAGAATTCACCAGTGAAGTCATGTGGGCATCTAGTTTTCTTACTGGGAAGATTTTAATTACAAATTCAGTTTCTCTCATAGAGGTGGGACTGTGCAGGTTACCAATTACTTTCTGAAATAAGCTTTTGTAGTTCATGACTCTTGGAGCCTTGTTCATTTCATTTAAATTGTCGATATTTATGGACATGAGACTGTTAATACCATTGTTTTCTTTTTAATACCTTTGTACCTGCAGTGATTATGTCATTACCTCTGTTATTCCTGACATTCTTAATAGTTTGTTTTCTCCTGTTTTTCTTAATTAATTTGGTTAGATTTGTTAATTTTATTGATTATTTCAAAGAACCAATTTTGAATTTATTTTCTCTATTTTTCTCACATTTCATTGACTTCTGCTCTCATCTTTTTTATTTTTTTCTCTTCTGCTTACCTTGGTTCAAATTACTCTTTTATTCCCCCTGGCTCTTTAGGATGGGAAGTGAGGTTACTGTTTTAAGGTCTTTTCTCTTTTCTAATATTGGTGTTTACTGGTATAATTTTCCCTACTGCTTCATGAACATCCCTCAAATTCTGATATGTTATGTTTTCATTAAGTTCAAAACAGTTCCTACTTACCCTTTTTTGGAGGTTTTTCAGATACCTTTTTGTTACAGTATGAATAATTTTATGTTCATAAATGCCAACAGTTTAGATGAAATGGACAAAGGGGTTTTCCAGATACCTTTCTGTTATTGATAATCCAGTTACAATTTTAATCAGAGAAACACCTGGGAACTTTTAAAATGTATTGAGTTCTGTTTCATAGCTTAGAATATGGATTACCTTGATAAATATTCCATGAGCACTGGGAAAGAATGAATATTCTGCTGTTGTTGGATGGACTGTCATCTAGGTGATGGACATACCGGTTAGGTGAATTGCTTTATGTCTTTGTTCAGACATCCTGCATCCTAACTGATTTTCTGTTTACTTGTTCTGTCAATTTTTGACTCTCCAGCCTTGGTTGTAGATTTGTACATTTCTTCTTGCAGTGCCATCATTTTTTGCTTCCTGTATTTTGAAGTTTCTGTTATTGATCTATTAACATTTAGGAATGTGATATTTTCTTGAATGGACCCCTTTGTCAGTATGAAATGACTTTATCCCTGACATTTTTCTTGGCTTTTGTTTATGTTGAAGGTTTCTTAAGGGAGGGGCATTTCTGATTTTTTGAAAGTGCTTGAAGAGGGATTTCTGGGTTATGTGATTTAAATCTTTTTTATATTTCCTAACACTATGCCAGATTGCCTTCCAGAACAGCTGTACAGATTGATCATTGTTTCAGTGTTTGTAAAGTTGGGAGATCTGGTGTTTTAAAATTTAAGATATGTGTAAAGGTTGACTGGACTGTGGAATTTATGTAATCTGTTTTGTAGAAAATTAAAATGTGTATTTTTAAAACTGTCAGCAGTTCGTTATATTTTTTGTCTCTTGTGGTGTTATATCTTGTGTCTCTTGTTATATATAAGCAAAAAAAATGAGTCTTTTTAATAGTTACATAAGAGGAGAGAATTCGTTTTCTTCTAGTTTATTTAATATCTTCTAATATTTTTTGTGGCATCTTCGATTATTATCTTTTTTTAAGTTTTTTTTAAGATTGATTTATTTATTTGTACAATAACTGGGGTACAGGCCAGAGGAGCAGGAGGGTGAGAGAATTCACCAGTGACAGCGGGGAACAGAACAGACAGACGGACCGAAGGCACTGCTGAGGGGAGCAGGGGGCGAGACAGGAGAGGTCTGCCGCGCCATGTGGGCTTTCTCCCTGTCTGGCTGGGGATCGGACTGGTGCTGCAGAGGCTGTGGACAGCTTCACAGCACTGAGCTCAACCTGCTGTGCCACTGGGGTGGCCCGATTACTATCCTAGAGATGATTCTCAAAACAATGTGCTTACCTCTGGTTGGGTACAATATTTGATTTTAAATCTATCAGTGTGTGGAAAGAAGTTTTATATATAAAGTCAGATGTTTCTAAAGGTGCTTTCCAAGATTAAATATAAAATACCGTGCCTCAGATCTGATGGGAATTGTGGCTGCTTGTGCTTTGATAGTGCCTGGTGCCGATAACAATAAAGCAAACATTTGATTTATGTATCTTTTTGATATGTAAAGTTTTCCCCTAAGGAAGTTTCACACATGATCTAAGAAATGCACACACTTTTAATATACCTTTATAAAAAAAAATGCATGCAGAGTATGACCTGTTTGGATTTGTTTGATAATTCTGAACTGTCTTTTCATACAGGAGTCTTCCAGAACCTCTTATGACCTATGAGTTACATGGGGAATTTATTGTCCCAGCCAGTAAGTATTCTTTGGAGGTACATAGAGTGTTGTAGGTCGCGGTATATATAAGTTGTAATTTCCATATGAAAATTTTAATTTGATGTTATTGTTATCTGTGTGAAATATAGAGATGGTTTTAGAAGATGTCTGGTTTCTTTATCCTTTTAGAAGGTGCAAAAGGGGCAGTTATGATACTCATTTCATTCATAGATGTTTATTTCTTGCCAACTTTGTGCGAGCCAGTGATAGACACTGGATATATAGAACCATGAAGATAATGGCTAATTTTCTAGCAAGTATTAGGACCTACATACATATCTGACAACATGAAGAAAATGTTATGGGAACACAGAAGTATTTAGCTTGCAGAAGGCTGGGGAGATTAGCTGATAGGGAGAGATCAGTAGGTTGGAAATGGCTTCGCATTGAAAGATATTTAGGTAGAAATTATAGGCAAAAGGAATATTGTCAGATAATTCTAGAAGCCCACACAGTAAGTGATAGAGAGTAAATTATATGCGATAGAATATGAAAATGAAAAAGGCCTGCAATTGGTAAAATATTTATGATATTGGGTTTTGGTGCGTTTTAGTCTTTGAAGCCCTCTTGTCTTCCCTATATTATACACCTCAGTTTTTATGTTCAACATGTGGTCTTCTGAAATAAGGTGGTGCTAGGTATTTAAGAGTTAAGGATGTGAAGATTGAGATGTGTTAAGTAACTTCCCAGATTATGGGGATCTTGTTTTAAAATTCAAAACCCAGCTCTGCCGGCTAAAACCGGTACTGGTTTTCACAGGTGCACTGGACAGTAGCTGTAATTGTATTTTCATTTCCTTGATTTTTTTCCCCCTTGGAAGCATTCCATAGTTTAATCTGTTGAAAAACTTAGAGCAATTCCTTTGGGTCCTATGTTATTGCTGCCCCAACATCACTTTAAATGTTATCTTCTTGTGAGGTCTTTACTCCAGCCAATGTAAAGCTTCATAGTAAAGAAGCGAAGTATAGGTTCAATTAGACTATATATAAAATAGGCTTTTGGAAAAAGCAAAAATACCATTCTATGCACATTATTTTTCATATGGAAGAGTTTTTTTTTTGTTTTTTTTTTTTTTTTTTTAAAGAGAGTTTGTGTGATCAAGGAAGTGGGGGAAAGTTTTTTTGGCAAAAACTCAAGCAAATGCTTCGTTGTTTTGATTTCTTCCCTGTGGCATTTTTGGCAAACCAGGGGAAGAGAAATGAAACTCTGGTTGGAAGACAATTGTTTCATGTTCGCTTGCAAAACTGGAAAAAGCAGAAATGTGCCAGTTTTAATCTAGAATCCTTTGAGAATTGGAGAGAGATAAAGTGATTATCAAACAAGGTTTTAATTATGAGTTAGTGTCATTATAATGGTCATGCCTTATAACTGAAGCCAGCGAGTCTGAGATGTGAGTGTTAGTATATTTTGCCAAATGAAGGCACTTCATCAAGTGGTGATGAAGTCCTTGGTGGTGAGACATGGGTTTAAAGAGTTTGCCGAGGCTCTTTGAATAATGTGGTGGGAGAGGTGGTATAAAGACAGAAAGTATCATCACCTACCCTGATGGCTTGCTAACTTAGTAGGGATGCAGTGAGAGTCTTTACAGTGATTTGAATTGCAGGCCTGTTCTACAGAAATACTGAAACGACTGTAGTTATTGGCATAGGTTTTTTCCTAAGTGGAGATGTGGTTGGAATGGACCTGTGGTTACCTAATTTAGTGAGAAAAAGTAAGTGTATTAAATGGGTGTGTTTTAGGCCCCAGCATTTCCAGTGTAGATTTTAATTTTTTTGTATTTGAATCCCTTGCGAGGATTCTTCTCTCATGTGCCTCTCTCAGATGCTTTAATCTTTTGCACATGTACTTTCAAGTATTGCATAAAACCGTTTACCAACATTAGCTTCCCCTTTTGAATATTGTTGGAAAATTGGAATCGCGGTTAAAATATGCGATCATTTTCTGTTAACAATGTCAGAGAGTGCCTTGTTTTGCTCAAGTGTCTGTCTGCTGAGTCGACGGCTAAAATTGCCCAGCATCACCATCTTTGTTGCCGCCTCCCACTTCAGCATGGAAACTCATTTTTGATTCCTTTTAGTCATCTGTGGTGGTTTCCATCTGTTCCGCGGTGTTGAGATGTCTCCTCCACCCTCCCCGCTGAGAGTTCTCAAGGTTTCCCTGGGTCCCTTTATCTTCTCTCATCCGTTTCTTTCCTGCAGAGTTCTGTTGAGAAAGCACCTATGAGTTAATTTCTGGAGTTCATTATACAAATAGGACTTTCATTTCTTTGTTGTTACCACAAAAAAAGGAAGCATGTTTTGTTCTTCATTCTAAAAGAATCAATTGACTTGCTGAATGTATTGGGGAATTAAAAAATTTTTTTTGAGATAATTAAAAGAGTCTCAGCTCAGAGAGTTAACTAAAATTGTTAAAAGGAATGAGAGACCATCTGTCTTGGAAAATTACTCCTGGGCTTTTCCTATAGTTACACAGACACACCACTTCACTCCTGAGACTTCTGGTCACCAAATGGTGCCTCTCCTCCCCCCAACCAATTCATTTAGTTCGGTTCTGATTCTAGATAGCGGTGACATCAGTTAAGGACTCAGCCCCACAAGAGTGCCTCCATTTCAGACATGTCACCATTCCCACGTTGTTCCTTATACCTCTGACTGTCTATAAATCAGTGTTCCCATACACCCCCACCTTGGATATGAGAATTTTCTAGAATGGCTCATAGAAATCAGGGAAAAACTTAGGTTTACCAGATGATTATATAATAAAGGGCTTGGTAAAGGAGATGAACAGCCAGGTGAAGAAGTACACAGGGCAAGGTCCAGACAGGCCCTGAGTGCGTCTGTCCCTGTGGAGTTGGGTGTTACCCTCCCAGTCTATAGATGTGTTCCCTTACCTGGAAGCTCTTGGAACCCTGTGCTATAGGGGTTTTTATGGGGTGTCATCATGTAGGTAAAATTGATTATGAACTCCATTTCCATCCCCTCTCCCTTCTTTGATAATGTGGTTGAAAATTCTTAGTTTCCAATCATAGTTTGCTCTTGTCAGCCAGCACCCTTCTAGGAACCAACAAAAAAGTCACCTCCTTTCAATGAATGATGTTCCTGTCAGTCAGGAAATTCCACGGGATTTAGGACCTGGGTCTCAGATACTCCCCTGTCACTCAGAAAATTACAGAGGCCCCAGCTAGGAGCTCTGTGTCAGAAAGTAGGTGCAAAGACTAAAATTTGAACAAAATATTCACTGAGCATCTTTATTTAGAATGATTTAAGATTTCTGTGTGAGGGGCCTCCCTGGTGGCACAGGGGTTAAAGACACAGCACTATCAAGCTATTGCCAGCCATTGCAACACAAGTTTGAGCCCCAGCCGGGGCGGCTGACCCACATGGTGCAGCAGACCTCTCCTGTCTCCCCACTGCTTCTCTCAGCAGTGTACTTCGGTCCTTCTGCCTGTTCTGCTCCCCACTCTGTCTCTGGTGAATCCTCTCACCCCCTGGCCTGCACCCCAGTTCTTTTATGCATGAACAAATAAGGAAAAAAAAGGTTTCTGTGTGAGGAACACACACACGCACACAACCACACAGCTATTATTATTTCGTACCATCTTGTGAGAGGACTAATGAACTTTCGGTACAGAAATTCCTAAACTAAGCATGCATTTTATACTTGGTCTGTGCAGGGAAGCTAGCGAATTTGCCCACATGGTGAAGGTGTTGTAGGTCATGGCCAGTGTCTGGGCCTTTGGGCTCGGAGTCCTTGATATGTCACAACACTGGTAAGAGATGACCCAAGTGTCAGGGTTGGACTCCCGTTAAACTTAGGTTAAGAATGGCAACCAGGCCCTCCCTGGTGGTGCAAGGGGTTGAGACGCAACCTATGAAGCTATCCACAGCCACTGCAGCATGAGTTTGATCCCTGGCCAGGAAGCTACCCACATGGTGCAGCAGACCTCTCCTGTCTTGCCCGCTGCTCCCCTCAGCAGTGTATTTCAGTCAGTCTGCCTGTTCTGTTTCCCACTCTGTCTCTGGTAGATCCTGTCACTCCCTGCACCTCTGGCCCATACCCCAGTTCTTATATGCATAAATAAATAAATGTATATATTTTTTAAAAGAATGGCAGCCAAAGCCTGGTGCCCAATGTGGTGTCACATGGAAAATTTCCCAAGGATGAGAATATTTGTCTTGCTATATTATTTTTTAGTATTTTCCTTCATTTCATTGACTTGCCAGTTATTTGCACAGCTATGTAATTATGTGATTATATCTTCAACCTTCCTGGAGGCACAGGTTTCTCTGATCCAATGTCAATACTAACCCCCTTTTCACCCTTCCCCCTTCAGTAATCATTATATTTTTCACAGAGTCTAAGAATGATTTTTTTGTTGTGTTATGACAGCTTGTTTGCTTTGGTTATTTATATTCTGCAAATGAGTGAAACCATCCGGTAACTGTCTTTCACTTCTAACTTATTTCGCTAAGCATCATCACCTCAATTCCACTATTTTGTCCCCAGAGGCACTTTTTCATCTTTTTAGTGTAGCTGAGTAGTATTTCATGGGGTATGTGTTCCACAGTATCTTTCTCCAGTCAGCTGTTGATGGGCATTTAGGTTGGTTCCTTGACTTGGCTGCTGTGAGTAACACTGCCATGCACGACTCCTTGTATTAGGTCTTGCCAGGTTCGGTATGTTTTCTTCCTGTAGTCAAGCCACCTGGGAAGCAAAAATATAACCAATAAAACTCTGTCATCCTTTATGGTGAGAAATAGAACTATTGTAGGATTTAGGGCATTAAATCCTGTTGGTATACCCAGAATGTTCTATCCTTGTCAGTAAACCAGCACAAGGAACAAGATGAAGGCATGTGGTCTTGGGAGAAAAGACGCAGGAGCGTGCAAATTAAAGAAATGGAATGCTTAAGTGACATGGAACCATCTTAGCTGATGGAGTGATGTATGCCCCACAGAAGAGCTGCGGTGCTTGTCTTTCATCAAAACTCCTTGCTCCTTGGGTGGTTATTGCTAATGCTTCACCAAAGTTTCCCAAACTTCCCAAAATTTTATTGACTTATGACATCTAAAAATTGAATAATTGGCATTCATCTGATGTGTGTCTTTAATAAACTCTAGTAAATTAAAATAATCTTTTCTAGTCGCCATTAGCTGACCCAGCATCATAAGCATCTAGACAGCCAGTTGTTGTGGATGCCGACCTAAGGCTTCACAGTTAAAAATGCTTTCACTGTTTCCGTAAACTCCTAATTCTCGGGCCTGCTTCGGGAACTTGGTGCTATGATTAATTTGGTATCCTAGTTTCAAAAAAAAGTTTTACTTTTCATTCTACATCTCTTTATAGCAATAAAAATATAATAAGAGGCATATAGCATTAGCAACTGAAGAAAATTTACCTTAGAAGACTTTTTGGAGTACTTTAAGTTATAACTGGGCTGTCGCCATGTGGAAATGGCCATTGATAGGAAGCTCTGGTTAATGTCAACATAAAACAAGCAAGATGAAGAATGTAGTTGCATTTTAAAGCCTTACTGAAAAATATTTCTTTGGAAGAAGAGGGAAAGAGCAGATTTGGAAAAAATGTGTGTGTGTGAGATTTCAAGCAAGATGAGAGTAGGAAGAGGACTCAAGAACGGCCGTGGAAGGTTTTGACTTTATTTTTCAAAACTGATTCTGCTATTTTTAGAAACGAAGAGCCTTATCCATAGAGGGTGGGAAACTATTTCCCTAGCAAATCTAAAAATATTAAAAGTAGGTTTTCTTTGGAGAGAGATGTTAATTCATGATAGAGTAGTCAAATGACTTAGGAATAGCTTTTTAGCGCAGAGTTTTCAATCTGAAATATTTGAATGTACAAAATGAAAGTTATCCTTTGTTTTTTTTGGAATTTCTGACTTTTTTTTAGCGCCTGCTTTAATTTTATTTTTCATATCAAAGCTGTGGTGGAAAATGGTATTATATTTTTGTTGCCTTAAGTTTTCACCAGCTTTTATTTAATAGGGCTTTATTGCTAAAGACTTGATTATGTTTTCTTCCCTGCCTTTTGACAGCTGTCCATTTGCTTTCTGTGACAAATTGAGTCCACATCCAAGTTTTCAGTCCTGTAGCAAGCTTTGATGATTTGCTTTCTGGTTTATCATTCACCTTTTTCATTTCATAACCTTTGCCTCCTTATTATTAGTAACCACTGTCTCAGTGTCCTCGGTTGTGAAATGTCATTGCTTACTCTCAAATAAGACTATTGGAAGGTGAACTGGAACAAACTTAACTGTCCAAGCTTTGGAAGCTACTTGACTTTTCATAACATCGATGGTGAGGAAGTCCCTTTAATGACACGGACAGATTCAATGACCTAGGCTGTTGAAACATTTCATTACAAAAAAGGAAGGGAAACTCTGGAGGGATTAAACCTAAAAGGTCCTGACTCATCCTTCTTAGAGTGAGGTTTGTCATGGGTACTTTTTATTAAGTGAAATTTGTGTTGTAAAATAACCAAAATATGCACAACTAATGTGTATATCTCAGCGACCCTTCCCCAAGTGAAGATACCATGTAATTAGCTTCTCCATCAAGAAATTGCTTATTATCAGGACCCCAGAAGCCCTTGTGATCAACCAATCTAGAACCTACATGGAATCCTCTTCCCCCTTTCATGTTCTTGAAGTTTAGACCAGTGTTCTCCTGTCCTGGTCACATCAGGGCTGGGGGCTGGGTGCCGGATAACTCACATTAGCCCCTGTGTCCCAGAGGCCCCTGATAAATTACAACCAGCCAACCCTAGGCCTCTTTACTCTCTCCCTCCTGTCCCTTTCCACAGAAACTGCACTACAGCTTCTTGCCCCGTTTTTCCTCGACTGACCCTGGTGCTTCCCCTGGTAGACCAGCAGGGTATGGCAGGTCCCCTGCTTCTGGGGACCTCTTGGTGTAAATTGCTTCATTCATGACAGCCGCTTCTGTGTCTGCGTGTCTTACCACACTTGAGCAAAAGAAATCCCGATTGCATTTCAAATAAGCATGTTGAAGTACCGGAAGGTAGAATTCTTTTTTTGGAAATAAAATTCAATCCAAACAGGGGATATCGTATTTGCTGGTATTTTATTTGCAACCTTTTGTGGAGCTGTGATCTAGTGACCAGCCTCCCTCATATGTGTGGTGAACAGATGAAGTGCACTGGAAGGAGGCCCCACAGGAGCTCTGTTCTTCCATAGGAACAGAGGAAAAGGTGCCAGATGTAACTACCTCTTCAGGGGGGCATAGGAGATAAGCTCCTTTTCCTCCTACAGGTAGCAACATGTGCTTAAATTCTGGTTGAAAAGGTGAACAGATGAACCATTGTAATCGATTTTTAGGAATATGCTTGGTTCTGAGTCCCATCCTAACTGAACTGTTTTTCTTTTTTCTTAAAGAAAGTGGCAGCCCAGAATCTCGTGTTAATGCTATCCATTTCCTGGTCCACAAACTGCCAGAGAAAAATAAAGAAATGTTGGATATTTTGGTGAAACACTTAACAAAGTAAGCCTCTTTTTCGTCTGAACTTTGTTTTGCTCTGGGTGCTGTGTGGGGATCTTGGAGTCGTAGCGATTGGAACTGAGGCAGTGTACACGATACCTCGGACCGCACCTGGAAGGGCAGGCTGGAGATTTGACTCATTGTGTGTGTTTTGGACAAGAGTATTGAAATAGGATGCTCTCGTAAAGTCGGGTAATTATTTGCTTAACATCGCTGCCAGCAACTCGGGGTTGATGTGAAGTAAGAGAAGAGAATATTACACATTTCCCTGTACACAGATTTTGGAAATGTGATTATAAGACTGTTAGCATATTTAGCTTGGTTTCACACCTACCTAACTCTCTAAGTTTAAACATGTCCTTTAAGTTTACTTAATCCAGTAATAAGTAGTTATTTCATAGGGTCCATTCCTTTCTTTTTACTTCCTTTTTAAAAAAGTAAGCAAAATTGAATCATTCAGTTGAGACATTAACTCTTTCTTCACATAAAAATGACTCCTACGTCACAATAATTACAGAATTTTAGAGACGAGAGGAAGATGAGGGAACATTGTGTTTTAGGACCTTTATTTTAACAAAAAGGAAAACTGAAGGCCAGAGGGTATTGACACCTGCCTACGGCCCTAATATTAGTACAGCCAATCATTCATTTGGCCGAGGTGCTAGTGAATACAAAGATACAGAATTGGATAAGATAGACAGAGTCTCTAGTTTGAGGAGGTCCTGTCCCTTCTTTCTATGAGGGAGATTACAGATGAATTTACAAAGTGAAGTGAGGGGGTGGAAAATACATGTCAGGTGTGAGGCTAGAGAGAGGGTTGTTATGGAACATCTCATTGTGAATGAGACCTTTGAGTGGAGACTAGAATTCAAGGGCAGGATGACCATGGACAGTTGTCCAGGTTGCTCACTGCACAGTAAGTAGTTGTGGACTGAAGGGGTGAGAATGAATACTCTGACCAAGCTCTGTGTGCTTTTGAAGGAAATTCTTAGAACTGCATGTAGCCTTAGAGTCTCTGGAAGCAAGGGCATAATAATCTGGGGAAAAAAGGGGTGTTTTAAGTAGGAGAGAACAGCCGGTGTGAGGACACACATCTGGTATATGTGGGATTACTCAGAAAGCCAGTGTGGCTAGAGCAGAGTTCAGAGAGAAGTGGGAAGTAGACAGGGCCTCAGCACGTAGAGTTTTGTCAGATCTGCTTATTTTAGGGGTAGACCATGAGGACAACCAAATCTTGGACTCCTGGTTTTTAGGGAAATAGAGCGGAATGGACAGAGCAGAATCCTGTACTTTGCAGCTATTGCCTGCCTTTTACCCAGAGACCTTTGTTTATTCACCTCTTCCATCTTAGTGTTTCAAATCACTCCAAGCAGAACCTGATGACGGTGGCAAATTTAGGAGTGGTGTTTGGACCGACTCTGATGAGGCCACAGGAAGAAACTGTGGCTGCCATCATGGATTTGAAGTTTCAGAATATTGTTGTGGAAATCTTAATTGAAAACCATGAAAAGGTAAGACTTCTTCGTTAATAGTTGCTGGTTTGGCTGTAGGACCATGTGACGTACAAGAGCCTCTGAATTTTCCCTTCTTTTGTTTTTATATGATTTTATTATCATGGTGAGCTTGGTTCTGTGACGTTCTCGTTGAGCTTCAGCCCTGGTAGACTTCCATAACCTGACGCTTCCCTGGTCTTCTCTTGTCTCATTGGTTTAAGGAAGAAACATTTGTGATGAAAGTGAATTTGTGCCATGCCATTGTAAACGATTTAGAATTTTGTAGCCTTTGTGCCTGTCTTTGGATTTCTCACTGAAATTGTTTTTCCGTATTAGCTAGCCTACTCCCCCAGCTGTGTTAATAATTTCAGGGGGACCCCAGGTTAATATTCTCTGGTTTAAAGTGAATAATCTTTTAGGTGACACGTCTTATTACCTGTTCTCTGTTAGAGTCTTTCAAGAACCTTTAGACTTTTTATTCTATCAGTGATAGATCTGGACCTTGCTAATCATTTTTCTCACTTCTGCCTTAAAAGATAGGGAATTTGAGACCTGTTTAAATGCGGGGTCATTTGTTTAAAGCTTTTTTTTTTTTTTTAGATTAGCATTTTTTTTATCGATTGCATTATAGCAGTTACATGTTTCCAGTGAGGTGTTTTTTTTTTTTTTTTTTTTTTTTTTAATTTGAGATTCTGTGAAATGCGTGCATTTGGTGCTGGGATGTAAGGATGTTTATTACAATCCTGATGTAAAGCAGATCAAATAAGGGAGTTAGAACCCTGTTCTGGAGCCTGTATCCTATCGCCCTTGCCCCTGTCTGACGTGCTACGTAATTTGCTTATTTTCTTAGTTGTTAGCTCTTTCTCCCTGCTAGACACTGGAGGGCAGCGGTCTTTCTGTACACGTAGAGTAATATGTGGTACATAGCAGATGCACAGGAACACTTAATGATGAGTTGATGTATGCAGTATGGTTTGAGGGGAGAGACCAAGTGGGAAAGAGACTGAGCAACACAGGTGTGGTCCCTTTACGGGGAGCAGGGCAGGAGATTTTTGGGGTTCTAGCTTGTGCAAATACTGGATCCCACTGAAAAGATGAAACTCGATTGGAAAATTTTCTTTCCCAGTATAGTGACAGCAATTTGTTTATAGACATGTTTGGATATCTTTTGGGGGGCCGTAGCTGGTGATGAATTTATGCCTGCTTTTATAATCCTGTCTCACTGTCCTTAAGCCACATGCACTGGGCTCGCCAGACAGCTTCATGGAATGATGGCTACTGTGCACTTACAGAAAAAGAAATGAGACCACAGCTTTGAGACAATGTTTGGTGGCACAGCCATCATTAGATTAAGTCCCAATTAGGGAACTTTTATGCAATTTATTTGTGAAAATCTGGGCTCTGTGTCTTACTCTGGCATAAAAGGATTGGCATTTCATGCTGCGGCTCCTATTTTCTTCTCTTATTTGAAGCTGGGACGTTAAGTACCTGACTTTTCTGCTGGGAAGTAGATAGTGCTGCTTTTACCTTGTTAACAAATCTTACAGGAATTTCCAAGTGGCAACGATGATCCCATTATAATAGTTAGAGCAGATCAAATGGGGCCAGCTCGCGGAGATGAAGCTTTCCAGAGCTGAGTGGAGGGCTCTTGGGTTCCCTCTCCCTCGGTGGCCAGGCCCCACAGTGCTGTGAACACCCAGCCAGTGTTAATTCAGATCCTGGGGTTCCTGTCAAGGTGTGAGGGGTGCACTGTTGAGCCTCAGACTCCTCATGGAGCGCATCAGTTTACCTTTGGAAGCAGAGGTAGTTGGGGTACCTACTTTGGGGGAAGGAGGAGGAGAAGCTGTTAGCTTGGGTTAGTTCATCTTTCTGAGAACAATTACCCCATTACCTGGCTTTTCTCTCTGATGCCATCCTTGTCCACTCAAGCTCATCCCCTGAGCTTTGTTCCAGCTCAGCTGGGCTTCTCTTCAGAGTCTGCGCTCTGCTATGAAGGGACCATTTCTGCTGACGAGGAGGTGCGCAGCAATACTTTGTATGGACTCTGTCCCCGGATGAGCCACAGGTTTCCTTGGCAACTGGCCCACACAGACCACCCATAGCACCTGTGTTTGACTTGAGGGTAGCGGGGTGGGGGGGTGGGCAGTGCCACTCAGACATGTTTGCAGTGGGAAAGAGAAGGAGAGAGATAGGAGAGGCTGAGAAGAACTGTCTTGTGAGGAGATACGAAGTGGTGATCACAGATAAGCAGAGCAGAGATGGGAACCTGGAGAGGGGGCGGCAGGCCTGGGTAGTGTCCAAGGAGAGGACCCGGCTGTGGAGGATGACAATTGAAGGAAGATGATTTCTTTTCTTCAGTTACTTAGTTTTCCTCCCTGAGAATGTGAAAAATGTTGACACCCAGGCAGAAGAGGCAACTTTCAACCTATAATGAAAGCAAGAAGGTTCTCTGTTAATTTTGGAGTAAGAAAAAAACTCCTCGTTAATCTGGTTGGCGATCGCATTTTATCCTAGCCTCTTGCCTGTTTTTATAAAACCCATATGTACTTTATAGGAAACTTATTCCATATGTTTTGGCTTCATTGCCACATAATACATTGAGACTCTCTTTTAAAAGAAGTGTTTGGAGGCCAGAAACATTACCAAGGCCTTGCTGCTCTTGCCTTTCCCAGGTGGACCAGCACGCTGTGAAATTCCCAGGGAGTTTCAAGTTGGAGCTGTGCCGTAGCACTTGGGCATATTAACATGTATCTGCTGTGGGTTAATTGAGTACATTTGAAGTGTGTGTCTGTTCTGAATCGGACATGATGTGAGACTGGGGGCTCACAGTGTGTCCAAGGGGGCGATGAAGACATGGCCGGTGGTAACTGCAGACATGCTGGAGACTCGGTGTGGACAGACAGACAGAAAACTGCTGAGGCTGCAGAGGAGCCGGCATGTCCAAGTGTGAGGGATTTGGAAAGATTCCTCAGTAGGTGTCTGAAGAGGTTGTGGAATGGGGTGTGACAGGTGGAGAAGCTTGAGGATTGTGTCGTCAGAGAAGCACAGAGCTAGTGTGTTCTGGAAGGGTTGCCCCTGTTGGGAGCAGGTGGAAAGGCAGCGGCCAGGTACGGGAGGCTGGAGAGCGCCACTGTGGGCTTTCATTTGGTTTTACTGATACCGGGACCTTGCGTGGCTTCCAGGTAAACTGCCTCAGGAGGCTGCAGCTGGCAGTGAGGGTCATCACAGTAGAGGGATAACAGGCAGCGAGGGGTCTGGGGTGAGAGTTCCAGGGTGGAGAGCTTCTGGTGATGTGTCTCTGGTGATGTGTGTGAGATCAAATCCAGGGACTAGATTCGTGGGGTGTCTCAGAGGGAGGATGAGAACGCCATCGGAAGGGTCTGATGATGTTAATAATAGGGAGAGAAGTTGGTGCGGGCAGGGGTGGACCAGTCCCATCCAGGCTGCGCTCAGGGGTGCTATCACCTGGCCAGCCTGCAGGTAGCGGGGACCCAGACTTGTCAGAAGACTTGTTTCTCCAGCAGAGATGAAGGTCGCTGGGCCTTGCAGAGCCCTTCCTTCCTCTTTGCTGTGGAAGTGCCTTCCCCAGTCCACATGAAGGCTGTGTCTCAGCCATTTGAAAAGTGCAGGTGAACTTGACTGAGCAGCCTGGGGCTATCAGAGACAGTAGTCAATACAGGTTAAAATCAGGAAAGCTGTGGTGACCGCACCCGAGGGGAGGAAGCCTATGTTGTGAAAAACAAACAAGGACATAGGAAAAAAAAAAAACAAAACTCAAGTTCTGCTTCCAAAAAAATAAATAATTAGGGGCCATGTGGCCTTATGTCACTGGATTAATTTGGCACAGAAAGTCCCTCAAAGGCCCTCCGTGTGTGAACTTTCCATTTGGTTAATTTCTCCTGAGCATGACCCCGAAGGCAGGAATCAGTTTGGGTAGCTTTATTTCTGTTTTCACACATAAGCTCTATTGAGCGCGCCCCATGAGTCCCCTCATTTTCTCAAGGGTCCGGGTGCTGCAGTGTCGGCGGCCGGGCTCTCTCTGCTTCTGGTCAAAGCTCCCCCACCCCTCTGCCTGGGCTTGGCCAGGTCTAGGTGACACTCACCCTCCTCAGATCTGCTCCCTCCTCTGTGTTCTGAGCTTTTGATAAGAAACCTTTATGTTAAAAAGTTTTAAAAACTGGAGTCTTGTCAGTATTCCTTAGGTGAGTCAGCCATCCAGAACAAACTTGTCCTCCTCCTTCCATGGGCTTGCTCAAAGTCTTTATTTCTTCTCCTACAGGTATTTCTAGAATTACTGTTTTTCTTTTAACGATCTCTTAGGTAGTCATAGGAAAAGTACCCCCAAGCCATAGAGATCGGGGGACTTTTATCGGCCTTCTCTTGATCAGGTAGTGATAAATTCTGTGGGTCTGTAGTATTATGAGCTGTTGCAGTATTCTATGTTGCTCATTAACTAGAGATAAGAGTATCCACAATTTAGGGGAGAGTGAAACCTAATTACCCAGAGCTTACTAAAGAGCTGTCCTGACCTGGTATTTGGTTCAGGATAATCTGGAGATATTGATGAACTAAGATCGGTCATGGATCAGTGACTGATGTCACTAAGTGATATGCACATCGGAATGTGTTATGTTCTCTCCATTAAATCATTGCTCTATCTACTCATCTGTGTGTGAAGTTATTCATGGTAAAAGTGACCTGATAGTTGGTGTACAGGCCAGACGCATGGGAGGGTGAGAGGATTCACCAGAGACAGACAGAGCGGGGAACAGAACAGGCAGACTGATGAAATATACTGCTAAAAGGAGCAGCGGGAGAGACAGGAGAGGTCTGCAGCACCATGTGGGACCCTTGCCGTCCGGTGGGGGTCGAACCGGCTCTGCAGAGGCTGTGGACAGCTTCACAGCACTGCGCTCAACCGCCTGCGCCACCAGGGGAGGCCCTTAAGTCACATTTATTAAGCTGTTCCCTCCTTGCCTCACGAAAAAAAAAATTTGTTTTCTAGAAGTCCAGCACTT